AAAAAACTATTATTATAATCGTTTATCTTTTAACTCAACAAACTATTTCAATAAAATCTTATCATTTAGGATTCTATAACAATTTTATAAGTTGGATAGTCAAAATTAGAAATATGTGTTGAGAAGTATAATATAAAATATATAAAAATCTATTATTGATTATTTTGCATTTAGAAAATTTTGAAGTTGTATCTATTTATATACGATACACCTAGATTCGTGTTTAGATAGCACATCACTTTGAACATGACAATATATTCATGTGCCTTATTCTAACATTATTCCAACATTCTTGGCTTTTATCATATAGTATATACTGTTTTTATCTTAACAATCTTCTCGATCTACATATAAGCTTGAATGGATACAAAACTTACCTAAAAAATAATTTAAGAGTTTTCTGGATATAACTATAGTGAACAAATCTGCCACTTTTTCATTTGTTCATCCCTGTAATTGCAGGTGTTAGTTCCATAAACGATGCGCATTCTCCACACGCTACCATTATTGTTACTAATGAATATAATTTAGGGTCCGTTTGATAACATTAGTGTTTCTTATTTCTCATTTATCGTATTTTTTTTTTCAAAAACACATTGTTAAATCTTTTTCATTGAAAAAAGAAATATAAACATGTTAAATAATCCTTTATTGTTTCGTGTTCTCTAGAGTTTTAAAGCAGAAAAAGTAAAATTTTCATATAAAAATTAAATTTTTTTATGTTATATTTAATTTTTAGAATATTTGTTTTGTATTTTATGAGTGAAGGGCCTTGAGGTATCCTGGAACCCTTCCTCCCTCATAGGAAGAACGAAACATGTACTGTAGTTGCCGATTGATTTGATATTCTGGACGAAGCCTATATACATACCCACATAAAGTGGGGAGACTCTTTAAAACAATAAGCGAGAATGACTAGATTGATAGTTGGGCTAAAGAAAAGGTGGGTGAATGATAAAATAAAATTTTTATCTACATTTTGGAAAAAAATTGGAAACAAGAACTTCATCTTGTTGTTTCTAAAAATTCTACACAATTTTGAAAACGTTTAGTATAAACCTGGAACGCCAAAAGCTTGTCTTTCTGAAAAATTAAAGGCGACAGAAAGAAAATGGTGACATTTACCTAGAAACTTAGAATTAAAATAGACCTTTTTAAGTAATTAGTCAATTAACAACTTTTTTTTCTTTCAAAATATAGCACATATAAAATATTTCTTAAAAACAAAAAAGCACATATAAAATATAGTCTATTTTCTCCCATCCATCTTCTTAGGTCAATATTTTGGTAACTAAAAATCTCTTCACATTTAATATTAAGTTTCATGTTATACCGTCAAACCGAACATAGTACAATTGATTAAGTTTCGAGCATAGTTCAACCAAGCACCCTCATAATATATATATATATCAAAATTCAGATTATATATATCAAAAATTAAGATTCTAACTTCCCAATATGTTTAATTTTTAGTCAAATGAATTTCAGTAATTACACAGATTGGTTTTTCAAAACTGTTTTTAGATTAATGGTGAAATTTTGAAAACAACATATATGTTTCTTCCATATTTTAAATTTGAAAATTTAAAAGGTAGAATTACTTTTGAAAAAGATGAAAACTTTGTTAAATATATTATTTCTATATGTTATAAATTCATTTAATTTTTTTTTGTTATAACACAATATATTATAAATTATATCATATCTAAAAATAATAATTATAAAAGATTTATAGTATATATGTTAATAAATTAATTAATGATATTTTAGATTGAACTCGATATTGGTAACTACACTAATTTACAAATATATTACTAAACCTACCTTCAATAATTTTTAAAATTGAGACTCAATCTCCAAATATACTACCAAATACAGACTCTAAAATACAAAAAAAAAACAATTTTTTTTCATTGAATCGTATTTTTAAATTTATATTTTCAAATAACCAACTAAATTTTCTTCTAATTTTTCCACCCAAAATCTTAAAAAAAAAAAAGCAAAAATCTCCATGTAAAAAATCCTGTTTCAACCCAATGTAATATGAAAAGAAAATCATGATAAAAATGTTATTTAGAAATTGGGGCAAAACACACTGAAATAAAATTTTGAATAAAAATATATGATTTAAATCTAAAATTAATAATTTACAAAAAAAAAAAGTTAAAATAGTATCATATTAAGTTATAGGTCAGTAGTACATGCATCTTTTTTTTATATCAAATTTATTATACTAAAAGAACTGTACACATCACAATATCTTTTTTTCTTTTTTGACGGGGACATATTATGATATCAAATATATAGAATACGATGTCTTTTTTATTCCAATATTTGAATTTTGACTAACCTAAACATAATTCAACTAGTTAAAGTACTTAGGTTCGATCAAATTTGTGAGTTCGAAACTCCACTCTCACATATTGTACTAAAAAGAAAAAGAAAAAAAATCTTTAGATCTTAAGTAGGTAGTATTTTGACACACTAAATTCTATTCTGACGCATGAGAAAATAATATATACTGATATTATTGATCAAAGGTTAGAAATTCGAATCACTGACAGAGGAAGTTTGGTCAGATGAATGGGAAGGATCAGACGGTGGAGGATTTAAAGATCAGACGGTGGAGAATTTAGGGAGAAGTTAATAAAAATTAGAAAAAGGTGTGAGCGTTTTTATTGCGTTTTGCCTCGAACAATAAGCAAAGGCCAAACCAAAAAAAGCAAGTGTTTTTGGAGGACCCCACCGCTCAAAACGATGACGCTTACCAACATTTTTTTTAATTTTATTTTTAATTTTAATTTTTAATCTCATCTTCTTCTTCCCATTTCCAAATTTACTATATTTTAATTCTCAATGTAAAATTTTTAATTTAGTTTCAAATTTTATTCAAAAAAATAAAAAAAAAATTGTATGATCCTAAACTCTTTAAATCGTGTCTGATTCGTGTTTTATACTTTAAAAGTTTTACAAATAGATAAATTTTTTAAACGGCAGAATTTCAAAACTTTATCAAGACCTCTTGATTGAGGGCTTTACTGTATAACTTAGAAGTGAATTGATTTCAAGTAAAAGTGAATTTATTTCAAGTGTAATCTTTAAATAATATATTTAATTCACCACATAAATGTTAAATTATCAAAGTTATTATAATAAATTGATCAGATAGACACAATATTTTATTGTAATTTTTTTAAAGTCGAAACAACTCTAAAAGTTTAGAGACCCACAAAATTTTTAAATTTTAATAATTAAATCAAAACACATCTTAACTAGTTAAGGCATCAATCTTCGACCGAAAGGATTGTGAGTTTGAATCTCTACCCGTACATGTTGTATGTACTCCTAAATAACTTTTAAACTTTAGAAATAAGATTTAATAATTTATAACTTATTTTTCTACAACAGAAAATCAACTTTTTGTTTGAAATAATTCTTACCTTATCGAAGTTCGGCAAGGTTGATTAATTTTCATCCTAAACTTTGAATTTTATCAAACGTACATAGATAAATGTAGAAATTTGTACCTTTCGTTCGGTTTCTTCTATGTTCAGTCACTAATTTAACAGAAAACAATGTATAGGTCTCCCAATATTCATTAATTTGATTGAAATTCAAATCTCGCATAAAATTAAGTCTGGTCAATGTACAAGATCTATTGAACTTGCATGATCACATTTTTCCTAACGATTAACCTCCGACCTTTAAAAGAAGAACAAAATGTCTTAACTACTCAACTAAGCTGGCGTTGGTATCCAAGTTTTGCATTAAAATTGTTGAAATTAAAATTTATATATTTTAGGAGGTTCAAGGGTAAAAGTTGAATTTTTATTTTCTAGAAATCAATTATTTTGGTGATTGTCGTTATTTTGTTATTAATTATTTGATAAATAAATTACATGACTTTTTCTAAACACCAACTATTTATTATTGTGTGAAGCGGAGCATGAATCAGTAAACAAGATATCTATTACCTTTTCTAAAACTGAAGGTGGAATTTATCCATTCACATTTTTTAA